GAGAAAAAAAGGTAATGCAACAAACCTGCATTCATAAAAAAAAATTTCTTAAAATTGCAATATTATAAAGTATGTAAGATTCAAAATAAAATAAATAAATCGATTAATTTACTGTTCATTAAATAGGTTACATGTATAGTTGAAAAAGTAATAATAACAAAGCAAATACGTACATAATAGTTTTTTGCAAAAAATTTCATGCTATAAAATTGCGTAAAGTTAAATTTGCAGGATTTTCAAAATTAATTAATATAACATACTCTCTCAATCTCTCTCTCTTTTTAGAGGACTTGTAAATAAGTCAAGCCATCGATTTCAAATTCCTTATTTTTTTATGTATCTTGTAATAGTACAGTATAATATGAATTTAGTTAATAATATTAAATATTATTTTTTTATATGCATTGTGTGAACGGGTAAATTACAGGCGCGATTAGCTGATTACTTTTGTAAAAGCACTACCTTTTTCACATTTTTTATTTTTACCGATTCTCGTCTGATATTATATCTTTTATTCTCTTTATTCTTGTCCTCTTTTTTCGAAGTTTATAAAATTTAAATTCTTAATAATCTCGCGCGTGGACCTATTTTTTCATCATATTTTATTTAGTCTCATCTTTTAATTTATCATTTTCTTGGCATCATTAAATTGCACATCAGAAAATTTTTTCATAACATTAAGTAAATAGAAAAAAAGAAAAAAAGAAAAATGATAACGATTGAGCTAAACGTAAATATAAAAATGGCTTATGTTCTTATAAGGTTTTTGTTTATTTTTTCTCATATTTTTGATCACACAATATCGATAAAAAGAAAGAAAAAAAGGAATCAGAACAATTTTAATTCATTAATTTGCGGCTTATACACCTTAAAGGCACAAGCAACGAGTGACAGAAAATAATCAAATAATTTTTGTTTCTTCGTTCTTCAATGTTTTTCGGAATTCTGTGTAATTGTTCAAAAACTTGATTCGTTTTTGAAATTTTATATTTTTGTAACATTTGCGAAAAAAATAACCTCTAAAATTTGTTTACATTATCTACTTGCTATCTATTTGTTTAATAAAAAGAAGACAAACGAATTATTATTTTACATATGTATTTGTACATATATGTCATGTGTGCGCGCATTTATGTTTTATTCCTCGGTTATGCCTCAAATTTATGTATGTACTCGAGTAAAAGCACTAGTGCGCATATGAAAAGTTATACAGCTTGAATTTTTATTAAATTGTTGAAGTTTTGGTAGAATGTTTGTTTTTAAGTAATTTCCTACTCATACATATAATTATTTTGTCTTTTATAAACTTTTTAAATTATAAATAGAAAAATGATTATTTTTATGAAAGTTCTTATTTTATTTAGTTTATTGAATTGAAATTTATTAATGTAGATATTTTAAAGTTTTTAAGTGAACGCAATTAAATAATTTTTTACTTTTACTTATATTTAGTAATGCCACATAAAGCCCAAATTATTTTTCTTAATTTTTTTGTTCTCTTACTTTTTTTCTTTCATATCGAGAACAGGAAAATTGATTATGATTTTTAAAAATGCATTCGCACTTTATATATGTGTAAAGCAGTAACAACAACAATAACAACAATTATAATAATAATATCAAAAAGAAGGACAACAACAATATTGGAAGAAAATCAATTTTCTTATAAATTTATAAATTTATGTATAAGCATTGCCGAGGATCTAGGCAATGAACGACTGAGCTTTTGTATATTTAATCTTAAGTAAAAAGAATTTAAATACTATGTTTAAATGTAATTGCATATCAAGGAAGAGTAAAATATATTATATTACAATCAGAGGATACGTTCTTTCCGAATCAATGCCAAAAATTCGTATATGCACAGCAAAAATGATAATGTACATGTTATTCTGTATTTATTCGCAAGTATTAAGAATTATTCATACTTTATTAATCTGTATATACTGCTATTTTACTGGATACTTAAAATAAATTATTAGCTATAATAAATTAAAAGCTTATGCAACATCTAAAGTATAATAGTTATTTTAATATTTTTTTCATGATATCCCAAATATATGTAATAAAAATTACTTTGATTAATTGAACTTTAATAATATAAATTCGAAAAATTGAATACACATACTTTGAAATATGTATAAATTTATTTGAATATAATAGTACATATTTGCATCAAAGCTTCTAAATTCTATTTGTAAATTTTTTTAAATATTTAGTAGAAATAATAATAATTCTCACAAATATAAACTTTTCAGTTTACGTTTAAAATTAGATTTTTATATTACAAAATAATATACGAATTTACATCTTGCGTTATTTCGGAAAGATGAACATAATATTTATGCCACGTATCTTATACAATGGCGCTACATAACTATTTATGTCACTTTGATCCATAATGATTTATTTTTTTGTAGCAACTTATTCTATTCTAGATTAATGTGTATATTTATTCAGGGCCACGCACATGGTGATGAAAAATAGAATAATGTACGTACTCTGTGGTTATCATTTCTTCCCTTCTTTTTATGCTTCGCCCGGGTGAAGGATTAAACAAAAATTTCAAACAGAATTGGACGCGTCTAAACATTTTGAGGAAGCTGACATATGTTATTTCACTTAATTTCATTTGTTATATCTATATTTATATATATCAACATTTTAAGATTTTATAATTTTAAGATGTCTTTTCTATCTAAACTTACATTTAAACCATTATTAAATTGTTGCTTAGCTATTAATTTTATACTAATAAATTAATATTATAAATTGACCGTGATTGTTAATTAAAATAAGAAAAATAGAAAATCATAGCACTTATATAAATGTTGAATCATATGTTAAATATAAGTCTAAAGATAAATTTATAAATATCATGTGCATGAAATTATTGAACATTTCCTCTTTCTTTTTCTCACAATTTAGAAGATAGCTCGAAGTGATTATTAACTGTGTATGGTAAAATGTTCCATACAATTTTAGCAGTCATTATTTTAAATTCATATTAATATAATTTCTATCTGGGTATATCATATCCAGTTTTATTTTATATTTATAAAAAAACTCGCTAAAAACAATTTTTTGTTTGGCTTAAATTATTATTTACAACTATAAATTAAATGAAAATGAATTCATTAGCCGAAATATTTAGACGTGTCAATTTCTGATAATTACAGAAGATGCCTATTGAATTACTATTTCCTTTTGTTTCTTTTTCATATTTTCATTGAAGTAAGTCAAGAAATTTTTTTCTCAAGTATTGTAAAATTTTAATGACATTCGTTTGCAATGATCTAGGACTTTATCAATGCCACATCATTTAATATATTATTTACATCATTTAATATATTATCCCATCTTAAGATTCTATTTTTATATTTGATACTTTTATTTTCCTTTGTATTAAAAAATTGTACGAGAGTATAATATAAGTATTTGCTATAAGTTTTTTTTTAATAAGAATAACTGCTAGTTCAGTAGAATTGCATAAAAAAATTTGAAATTAATATACTTGTTCAAAAATGCGCTTTAACGTATATAATAACTATGTGTAAAGTTGTCAATACCTTCAAAATTTAAGAACAATGAATGAAGTGAATGACAATAACTATGATAATATTTTTAATATTATAATAACGTGCTGTAAGATACATAGAGGCATTTTGCGATGAAAATTAAATACTCTTAGTTCATAATGATGAGTTATGTGCTTGCTATAATTTTTATTTTTCTTAAATATGTTGATGTATATACGTATTGATATATATATGCCATTTTAATAATATTTTTATAAATTATTTTTATTTTTACATAGTAACGGTTGTAAATTAAATATGAATTTAATACTTCTTTAATACTTATATATATATATATATAGATATACACTTGCTAGATACTTCACTCAATTTTTACAAGTTTCTATTGAAGACATCAGTTCCATTTATATATCGACTACACGAGAATGAAATAAATGTAAATATTAATATTAAATTACTTTATTGTAATGGAATATTCTAATATTAATAATTCGTCCAATTTTAATATTTATTATTCTGAACAAAATTATACGCAAAGTAAATTCTGGTTAGTGTATCTGAAAATTTTTATAATTAATACAGTAATGCGGAACAATTTTTGAATAACATAAATTCTATTAAAAGTAATTATTAATATTATGATTCATATATTCCAATCTTCTGCAGTGTAGCCAATATATAAAGATGATGTATTATTTAAATATATAACATACTATATTATTATTTTGAAACAAAAAGCAAAAAACTATTAAAATCGGTGTAACCTTTTTCTCATTCTATTCCTTATTTTTTTCTTAAGAAATTTAATCTGTTTCTTTTATTAATAATCCTAATTTATTTAGTAATTTCTTTCTTTTAAATATTTTATACCTAAAAATGTAATCTTATTATTTATCCATCCAATTTGATCATTCGCAATGGAATTTTAAATAAATGGGGAACATTTTTTTTGCATTTATTAGCTCTGGGGAAAATTCTCAATTTTCCTATTTCTTAAACACTAAGCATGACAACGACTAAACAACCTCAAAATTTACGTACTTTATATTGGTTTACTTATAGCTTTATTTGTTATCACCGTATTTTTTCTCCTTATTTATTTATTGTTACTAAATTGGACGTAGCAAAAAATATCCTTCTAAGTATCTTACGTCACGTAAAAGTATGAGACGAATGTCAGATAGCAACAATACCTGAGGTAGTACGACACTTTTTACGAATTGTCTCATCGTGCGTGCGTTTTATTAAACATATTTTATTCATTAATTAATTTTTTTATTTGTTTCATGTAGTTTTTAATGTCTCGCTTGTACAGTGTCATTGTAAAAAATTGACCCGATGCAATAAATAATTTTTCCTTTTTGTCTTTATTCGTTCCGTATTTTCTTTCTTTATATATTACAATGTTTGTTTTTAAAGAAAATGACGTAAGAAGTACGAATGTGTAAGTGGAAGGCGCGGGGCGCCATATTTGTATCGGAAGCGTACAATTTGCCTTCTTAATATTTTTAACTTTATATTTGTTTCTTTCCCTCGTTTTCGTATTCATTAATTCTGATTTTAACTGTCAGCGGTTAGCTGCATTAAATATATGCATTATTTCCCGAGAAGAGTAAATTACATCGAAGATCTTGCACTTATTTTTTATTATTTACTCTGACCTTAACGTCGACATGCTACAAAAATGCACTACGAAGCTTGTCGGATCTTTAAGTATACTTCTTTTTTTTATTTTTGTGTATGTATTTTTGGTACTGGAAGCTACTTTTTTACCACAATTCGTATGATTTTTATTTACTATTTTACTTTTTTATTTTATAACTTTACAAATATTCGCATACGTAAACAATGCACACCCACGTGCACACAAGCAAACATGCATACACGCACACATTCTCTCTTTTTCTACTTTCATTATTTTATTCTTTCGCAGACAATTACAGGAGCTATTTAATACTTTGTATTTCTTTATTCCGTATAAAGCTCAAAAAATGACGATCCAATTCCATATTTATACGTTTTTACGTGTATTTTTGTATTTTCGGTATTTTATTTAATACTTATTTTTTATTTTTACCTATTTGTGAGGTTCGATGCAGATTTGTAATTCAGTTATTATGCCTCTTAATATCTTTTCTTCTTATTGATATTGATCTTATTGCTGTTTCTGCTGTAGTTATAGCCACTACTATTGTTGCAATTACAATTATTGGAAAGTATTTTTACATCACGGCGATTTATATTTGTTTCAAACAATAATGCCTCAAGTTGCTAGGACGTATGTGAACACGATCGTTGGTACAAGCCAACCGTGAAAACTGCATAAACGATGACGAGGCGTTGAGGCATCAACGAGGATTCTCATCGTCAGTATTAAATTACTCTTACTATCACTACTATTATAATTATCATGTTTTTGATGGTCGTTGCTGACGTCGTTTAGCATCTGTACCCTATTCTTATTATTACTTTTTTGTTTATTATTAGTCGTCCATTCGAAGTTGTTGCTAGTGATCTTATGCGGCGTCTTATTCGGTATCGCGCTACTGTTGATTCGTCAAACAATCATGCGACACATACGCAATACGAAAGACAAAAGGGAGAACCACGCGGTTCGAGCCCAGGTATTGTGGGATAAGAGGAGCCGCATTACAATCAGCATCGTGCCCATTTGAACGGCTTTGTGCAGCCAGTACAATCTGAAACAAATTATGTTTTAAACGCAAGTTTTATAGATATTATGCTATGAGAATATGTTAAGTTTGGTAAATATATTTGGTAAATTTATATTATAACATTAAGTCTACTAGCATAAAATATTGAAATTGATTGAAATTACAGGTAAATTTCAATTAAAATACTTCTATCAAAGTCATATTTTCTTTTATATTAAAAAAATATAAACAAATATTAGCATATATTACATAGTCTTTGAGTTTGGAGCAATATTTTTTGCTTTCAATTTATCAATATTGTTCTGGATTAGAGCACTTTCCAAGAATTTTAATTCTCAGAAAATTATAATCGTGCTAGCTCGCGAAATCGTAAACATTGATTCTGAAATTTCTCGATCATTCTAAAGCCTTTGCTTGCAAACGTCCTACAATGTTTATCTAGTCTCCTCATAGCAACGACGGTTGAAATCTCCAACCTTGCAATGCTTGCTTTCTTAGAATTCTCGAAACTTCCAAAGCTTTATTCTCGAAGTCCTGTACAAACCTCCGCATAGCAACACCTGTTCATTGTTGCCAGTTAACAAAACTGTCGTGCGGATATAAAGCAAGTTCGCGATAAGACAAGGTCTCTCTCTCTCTCTCTCTCTCTCTCTCTCTCTCTTAGTGAAGACGTCATTGCACGGAACACGGTCGGTCTTAGCAGGATCACCATGGAACAGTTGCTTTCATCAGCAGAGCTGCCACGGAGTGAACATGGCTGCCATTTCGTGTGCGTATTTAACGGGCTACTATCTAAACCGCCAAAGACAGAATATGCTGTTACTGCAGTCTGTCGCTGCATTGTGGATCCAGGCGTGCTCTTACTGTACTTACCGGACGCCGCTGTACTTGCTTGAGCTATCTAAAAGGAAACACGCTGTACTACAAGACATCACTGCATTATTACTGCCTTCTGGATAAAGACGCCACAACTACTGTTCTTCATCTACATCAAGACATCACTGCATTCTGTGCTACATCTGCATCAAGATGTTACTACGTTCTGTGCTATATCTGCATCAAGACGGCACTACATTCTATTACTGCATTCTGGATCAAGGCGCCACAACTTCTATATTATCTCTGCATCAAGACGTTACTACATTCTGTGCTACATCTGCATTAAAACACCAACACGTAGAATTACACAAGGAGTGTCCAGAGATTTATGACCTGTCACTTCTCAGTGTAGTAACCCTTCACCAAGCGCACTACGCCAAGAGGACCCGGAGATTTACAATCTCCAACCTCGACTTGTAGTGCATGCTACCTCCACGTATAAAACTACTACGCTACGGCAAAATCTCAACGATTCTCACCATCAATAATCAATAAAACTCAATAAATTTCACGAAAATAAAATGCGTTGATTACTGAATTGAATCATTAGCCTTTCACTTATTCACACTTTTCCACCAGTAAAATGATGGACATGGTCTAATCGAACCAATTGGTCCTTCGACCACTGGGTGACTGGAATTCCGGATAGATATTTTAAAATATTTTTATTATAAATCTTAAAACTATTATAAAGACTAAAGAAAGATTAATTCTATATAAAATTAATATTGTCAATAAACACATAAATATTACATCATTAAAATGCTATAAAATATATTATGTTATAATTAAAAAAAGTGATTACGCCTAAAATAGTTAGAGTTTAAGATTTCAAAATTTATTTTACCTCATAATATGAGTACGAGCAGCTGGCAGTGTTTCAGGACTCTCCTTGAGTATGAATTGCCTTATTCCGAGAATGTAATTTTCAAGATAAGAGGGCCAATGTATTTCTCGTACATCGAACATGAAGGTTTCTCTATCTTCCGCACTAAGTTCTTGTCCCAGTCGTTTGACGTTCTCGTCCTTGAATCTCCACTGTTGTGTGCTAAAGTACTCGAGGCACTTGGCAGCCTTATCGAGCTTCGCCTGGATGCGCACCATTATCGGTTTCCGACCGCGCAAATTTGCAAGCAAATCAAGGGTGTATGCGGGTACAAGGTGCTGAAAGGTGACGCAGATGCGATTGAGGTAGGCTGAGTTCCGGCAGCGTCCACCCGGATACCAGATCGCTCCATTCGTTGGGTACATACGGCTATACTTAAATGACAAATCCACGAAGTGTTTCCAGGTGATTGGATTCTGTTGACCAGTGCTACAGTTATATACGGTGATGGAGTCCGTACGGTGAATGGCTGTTCGCCACGCTGCTACAATCATCAAATTAATTACTATATCCACAGGCACGAGGTCAGCAACTTTGTCTTCGTGGCACAGCATTGTTCTATAGGATAACAAAATAATTTTTAGTTATGACATTTTCATTTTTGGGGAGATAAATTATTCATAAAAGAAGAAAATGATCCAAATTAAGAATCGTTCGAAAAAAAGTGATTGTGCAAAAGAAAACGCTTATTTTTCATACTACTCCAAATGTCAGAAATTAAATATGTTATTTAACTAAAGTAGCTACATGAAAAATTTATATTTAAATCAATATTAATGATTAAAAATTTGGTTTTAATATTATTAAAATTTCATTATTTTTTAAATATCTTTATTATTATTTTATAGGGTATTTTGGGCTTAGATTCTTAAATAGTTATCATCTACTCAATATTTTTGAAAAAAATGTTTACGTTTTTTAAATATTTGTATTAATTTGATTTTCTTCATAAATAAAACGATATATTTAATAGCAATAATAATTTGTATTAATAATTCAATGGTTGTGAAATGTATATTGTAGCTATAAACATTTTCCTCCTAAAGACAAAAGAAATGTGTATTGGAAAGTAACTCAATAAAATTTGAGATTTGAAGAAGGAAGCAAGGAATGTTCGATAAATGAGAGATGACCAGTTCATACCTGAAGAAGCCTTTACCAGCCGCAGCGATGATACCGGTGGGTCCATTCCAATTGTCGACCCATCCGGCTACAGGTTCGCGAAAGGATGACAACACGATAGACGGCCTTACGATAGCGACGGGCAGACTACCGCTGTCCGTTTGAAGCATACTCTCTGCTAGAGCTTTTGTAAATGTATAGGTGTTGGGCCTGTTGGCTATCAGTTTAGGAGTCAGCTCTTCGACGAGGCCGTCATCCATCCAAGAGGTGCATGCTATTATCTGCTCCGGACAATGGGGCGCTGGATAGATTAATTCGTCGACATCTGTGCGGTCACAATTACAGTATGCTGTCGATACGTGGATAAGCGCCTATGGCATAAAACCCATATATAAAAATGAGTTGTTTCTTTCGTTTAAATTTAAATGTATAATTAATTCAGCCTTATAAGTTTAATGATGTAATTGTATGATGTAATTTAATGATTTAATTGTAATTTAATGGTGTAAATGGCTAAATGACACGCATATCAATAGCTCATAAAAAAATTTTAATTATTATAATATGATTTTAAAAAGTTAAAAAATCAATTTTTAAAAATAGATGGATTTCAAAAATGTATACAAATAAGCAAATACTGGACATTTTTCAGATATAAGTCGAAAACAGCAAATGTACACTTTCTAGAAAATTCATGCTGTATGGAAACAAATATATAATTATCGGCGATTATCAGCGTTATAGATAATGGATATCAATAAAATCACTGAATTATAGTGAAAATATTTAATTTTTTATGTAAATTTAAATTAAAAATTAACTTTTAATTAAATGCCAATAATTATGTAAAAATAAGTATGATCTCGTAATCAATTAATGTAAATTATCCTAAATCGATGAAACAAATTTATAATATGAATCATGTAATATTAGTTGATATAAATATATCTACTTAAGAATCTAAGCTTTCTTGCTTTATTATGATACAGTAAAAGATTATTTAAAGGATTTTTATTAACAAAATTTTTAATTTTATATAAACTAATTAAATTTTTCAATAATTATTTTATTTATTGTTATTTATTTTTATTATTATGCGCCTATTCTTATGATAATATATAACAGAGAGTTCTTTTACTTATTATGCAGCTCTTTACTCACTTAAAGTATTGCTAATGTTTTTAAAATATTTTTGTTGAATATATTATTAATTAATTTTGATAGCTTTTAAATGAAACAAAGACTTAAACAAAATTACGTACAGTGATTTATATAAATATTATATAGAATTTAGTGAAAATACATAATTATCCTCCATACTATGTGGTGAGTCAAAGTAATTCTTAAATATTGTTATATAATTCTTAATTAGCTTAAATTGAATTTCTTCGTTACTTTTATACATAATCTAGAGTATATAATTTAACGTAAGTCATTATTTTTATTTTATTTAACTTACTAATTTTCTATAATATGAATGAAATTGCATATTTTTATAAGCTCTATAGATATATAATTTAATTAAAAGATATCAGACTACAATTTTTTTCACATAGTATATGCATCATACATGATAACATATTATTTAAATTTTGAATAATGATTTCTTTATCAAACTGAATAAGTTTATGGAAATTTTTATTTAATATATATTAATAATACAGAACTTGAATCCAAAAAATTAATCTTAAATATTAACCTACTAAATATTAATTTTTCCCCTTATACGAATATTTTTTTAAATTATATAAGAAATGCATGAATGTATAACATTTCTTAAGTAATTCAATATAATTTATATTTATCTATTTTTATTATGATATTAATTGAAAATAAAAGTACTTTAATTATGTATATTAATTAAGCATCTTTATTTGTTAAAGTAGTTGTTTATAGATAAAAAATAAAGAAATTTAAATCTATAGATTTTGTCAAATATAATTTAAAAATAAAAGTTTTTTTTTCAAATTTAATCAATTAAAAGTGAATATTTATGATTACATATATAAATGTATGTCAATAAATTTCTGATAGTATGATTATTTATTATATTAAACGTAATAATTTAAATTTAAAAATGATATTTATCAATTTACTGTTAGTATACCATTATTAAAAAAGTAGATATGTATCAAACAAATTATAGAATTACATGGTATTTGGATTATTTAAAAGTAATAATTTGAATATCAATGAGTGTAGCTTATAATTTTGTTGTAGGGCTTTGAATGATGAAATATCACAAAAATAAATATAAAGGTAGCATAGTTCAAATTACATAATTTAATCAAACGTCAATAATGAATTTAAATGAAAATATTTAAATTATTTATTTGAATTAAATTATTCAAAAGAAGTTTTATTTAGTAGTATATAAAGTAAAAATAGTATTAATATGAAAATAATAGTATTTTGACAAAATCATCTCAAATAATGCTGTATGAGATAATTAATTATTATTGAAAAGGATTCCTGATGTTATTCAGTGACGGTGGAAGTGATAAAATACGAGTCTGCAACTGATGCATGTAATATATTATATTAACATTTATATATTAATAAATGTTGTAGTTTCACCTCAAGATTATGCATGCGGTGGCAGAGCTGGACGAGACGTTTTGTGCCGAGCATATTAATGGTGACAGAGAGTTTAAGAGCCTCATCGAACTTTACAGTTGCAGCCGAGTGAAATACCACGGAAACGCAGCGAATGAGAAGTTCCTGGTCAGCGTCGGAAATTCCCAGCTCAGATTCTGTGACATCGCCGGCCACTGGCACGATTTTCAATAATTTTCCGGGACAGTTCTGACGCAGCTTTTCGAACAGCTGCAATTTTGAGTCCTTAGTTATCTTTAATTTAGTTAATTGTAATTAAAAGTTCAACTTTGCTGAATACTATATAAGCATTGTAGCGATAGGCGAAAAAAGGATACGAAATTTATGTAAAATGGAATGTACAATTGTAATTTGTTCTATCATATCGACTGTACAATAACAAATAGTTCAAAATAAATTTTGGACCTGATACGAATTAAACTTTCTATTTGGAAACAATTATTTCTTTTGTACTTAATTTTATTGCAATTATATTTTTTAATATATATATAATATTTATGTGATAACCTATAAATATTTGATATGACTAAATTTTTTTATAATTATTATCAAGGTTTTTGTTGATATGTACGCATATGAAATATAATCGACGGCGAATGAGGGTCAATATTATACATTACAATAATTTAATCATAGTTTCTCGATATATTTGGACATTAAAATTTTTTTTATTCAATCCAGAGTTTATTATTTTGCTAATTGGACAAATTAAATACTGATTTTTAAACAGACTGTCATTTTTTCTATTTATGATACTTTTTATATTTTAACTATTGTATATTAGTATATTAAATATAGATATAGTGTATTAAATATTTTAAATCGTTTTCATTATTTGTTAGTTTTGGGACGGTAAAAATATAAATTGATTACGGCAAAATACTATTTTTCTGCAAAATTATGGTATATACATATATTTATTCTAAATAATTCTTTTAAAATTTAATTTAAATGTATAATTGAAAATTATAATGCTTGTCATCATTAGCATTATCATTATTGAAATATAGTATATATTGTGAAAAACGTATATGTAGGTATTTAAAAAATCATAATTTAATTATTTATAAATTAATCTAATCGCCTATCGGCAGCATCAACAATGCCGATTAAATTTTTATATATACCTTTCGAACTTGTAAGTGTGACGATATTCTTAGTTAAAAATTCCATTTAAAATTCTTTTATGTTTTGAAATTTTAAGTAATTTGTTACAATATAGCTTGTATACTTTTAGCTGGTTTTTATTGATTCTCAGGCGTTGGTAATCGTTTTTACAGCATTATCTAACACGGAGGATTTATATATGGCTTAAGAATTTTATAATATATAGATAATATAGAGTGAACATACCGGTGCATCAAGGAGCTTTCGTAGCCTCTGCTGCACGTTCTGACCTCTTTTGGGTCTCATAAGGAGATAAATATTCTTGATATCGGGGCAGGACCGTAGAAGCTTTTCTACGAGGACTTTACCCATAAAGCCAGTGCCACCAGTGATGAAGATTGAACGATGTCGATAGAAGTCCTTAACGGAGGTGTAACCAATCCCGGGCATGGTAGCCATCTTCTATGTTTAATGTCAGTAACGTTTGTTGTATTGAGTGACTGATCCGTGTCGATAGTGATGTAAGCAGAAAAGTAACAAAGCTCAAGAGATTCGGGGGTAGATAATCAGCGACGGGAAGTCACTGAAGGAAAGCTGGCTTTTTTGAGAAGTTTCTTCAAGCCAGTCTCTTCTTTGATGTTTGCTTTTCTAGGTGCGCTGATACGTCGTTGCCAAGTTGTGGCGTCAACGTTCATTTCGCATTTATATCCGTATCACCCCTAAAAGCATATACCCTTTTCTTTTATATTCAGTTATTTGTAATTATTGAAGTTATCCTACAAATCATTAATATATCGCCATTGATTGGTGTTGGTATTATGTAGTTACATTAATTAAGGAGAATTAGTACAGAAGATTAATTCTGATTTTGATGATACGGTACACTTAAACATATAATATGATAATTATAATAGTTTGTTTTATATAACTACAAGATTAAATAACTTATATGTGTATTAAATAAATTTTCTAAATACTTTATTCTTCAATTTAATTATACTTAGAATAATTCAATTCTCACCTAAAATTATCGTTAATATCAATATTATTGATTTCATATCACTCATTATAGAAAAAGGGCTTTCCTTATTTTTTATTTACCTAAAAATTTATGTATGATTTATTAATTTGAACAAAATTATTCATTTTATAAAATTGTTATAAAAATGTATATAATTATGTTTTTTTTTTTTAGATTTATTTACATTCCATTAATTTTCCTCTGACATAATGACAATTCATTATCTAGAATTATTGTATTGTAACTAATCACCCAAGTTATTATATTAGAATGACTATATTTACATTATTTCGGATTGATTTCTATTTTATGTTATACTAATTTTTAAATAAGAAAGAGTTTTATTATTATTACCACTTTTTATATAAAATTTAGATAAAAAATATAGATTTGCTTAGCTATTATTTAGATTTTCTTAATTTTATTTTCATTTAAATTAATTAAAATGTTTTTATTAGTTATAAAATTTAGAGTAATTTCTTTCCTTTATTCTTGCGTATCTGAAAATATTTATATATTAAACTGAATAATAATGTTACAAATTTAAGAATCTGTTTATAATTAAAGTAAGAAAAAAATTATGAATAATATAATTTAATTTTTTATGAGAAATACCTGCATATAATTTTGTGAGTTATAATATAAGTTATAAATAAGAGAATATAAGTTATAATACTTAAATATCTTTAGAAATAATAATTTTTATAAGCGAAACCTAAAGTTTATGGAAAATGAATAAAATCAATTAGTATTAACTAATTATTAATTAAGATGGATACAGCTTAAAAGTAACTTCAGAAAAATAAAATTACTAACTGAATGTTTGCAGAAAACATTAAAAAACATTGCTTAACTTTTCTTTGAGATCCTGATTTAATACTATTTCGACATGTAAAAAAGCAAAAAAAATAGACCTTACGATTTTTTAAATAAATGTTAAAGCACACGAAAATGTAAATGAAAATGTAATGAACTGTTAATCTCATATCCGTTTTATTTAAGGTTTTGCAACTTATAATGCAGAATTTCACTATAGTTTGTTAGCATTGCATCGTTGATGGTTGTTTCGTCGATATTCAGAAGATTAGCGTTTCGGCGCACGCGTCGATGAATCTAGAAGTCGAAGGATCTGACGTCGTTGAACTTGAAAAGGATCGATCTGGCCCGTAAGAGACATTGACATGGAAAAAGGCGCGGCTACTGCGGTGATAGTACACACATAAAGATCAGTCTTCTAGGCCCATAAAACCGCAATTATCGTTTCGCAACTTCATTCAAGGAAATATTCTGTTAACATTGCTTGGTTGAGAGAACTCGCAAATATTTTACAAAAGGATCCAAAAGTTTTTAATAGTGGGTAATCAATGTAAAAGTTTGTAAATGTGGGTATGCTTAATGGAGTATTGCAAAGATTAGATTTGGTGCTAAGTGGAATAATTTGCTGTGATGAAAGAGAAAATATGAAGCAATAAATTTTATTTCAATCTTAATGTGAAAACTTGATCAATAACTAATATTTAACAATAATTTCATTAATTGTCAAATAATATAGTACTGCATATTGCATATATTACAATAATTTTTATAATAAATAATTGATCAGTATATTAATATTACATTTAATTCTTAAAAAATCAATACTGTGATAGTTTAATTATTTCGAATATTGAATTTAAATAGCTTAAGAACTATTAAAAAATAGTATATCTTTTTAATTTTAATATTCACACGTTATAGTTTCTTACAAAATTTTGTTCATACAAGCTGCAATCAAAATATACCAGTTTAATCAATTCAATCAATTCAATATTTTTTATCAAATTTAATTACAATAGATAATTTTTCTTTATTGTTGAATTATTGAGCAATTATCAGATAAAATGTATGGTTAATTTTATCAAATTGAATCTTTCACGTGATAGATAAAATTATTAAATTCATAACAGAATTAAAGTAAAGCAACACTTTAATCTGAACTTGAATTGATCTGAAAAGATCAAGAAGTCTGAAGTCAAATTGGCTATCGATGAAATAACGAAGAGTGAAAATAGCAGTATAACTCTACAAGTTCGAAGACTTTCAAATTTAATTACTGTTGCAAAGTAGAAAAGAAAACACACATAATTTGTTCATTGAAATATAGAAAAGTTCATGCAATTCGTTTTTCATCGAAATATTTAAAATATTCTTGAATTCACGTCAATTATTGAATTTGACATGATTATTAAAATCGATTCACAATTTATCTAGATAATTTTTCTCGAATTCATCAGATCTTTTTTTCTTATTGTTTTACGATATATTTTATTTACAATTGTAAATTAAACAATTTATACAATTGTTACAGCTCTTAGAAATTATTATTTTACAAATCATTTTATTTTATTTAAACTAAGTTTCTAAGTTAATAAGATATTAATTTATTAGAACAACTTTAATGACAAAAAGCTATGCTTATAAAGAAAATCTGTTACTATTCAAGCTATTTCATAATTAAGCCAAAAAAATTTATCAAAATATTATGTTAATACGAATAATATTACATTATAAAATTATTCAATTTTATATAAATATTTTTAATCAGCTTCTTTTATAGTTCAAAGCAATTTAAATTACAAGTAAAATAAATTTTTAAACTTATAAAATAAAAAATGCATTAAAAATTTTATATTTTACACCTGTCTTTAAATATTTAAAAATTTAGATACAGGAAAAATACATTATTATTAATTACTTTTGAAAAATCACTAAAATAAATACTTCTATAAGTGATGGAAGAAATGATACAATCCTGGGTAATGAAATTCATGAAAATATGGAAGTAGGAAAAAACTAGGGAATAATGTTTTATGTTATATGTACATAATAAAGCTTGTATATCAATATAAGATACAGTTTCTTGATTATTTTATGTTTCATTATATACTGGTTCGAAAATAAAACAGATTTCACTGCACTACGTAAGAAATGCAATTCTATGTGTGAAAGGGTACAGGAGTTTCTTTACTATAAAAAGCCTATTGACAGAGTCATCATTTTAAGACAATAAGAATACACATTTGTTATAATAATTAAATATTTATTTATTTCTTTAAGTATAAAAATATATTATTTGTCATTATTTTTCCGAAGATATTAAGATTAAAAATCGAAAACAAAAATAACGACAAGAATAGATTTTGTTATTTTGTAGAAACATTTACTTGATGAGTTTTTAACATTAATCCAGTGTTTTAAATTTTTATCAGTTGTGAAAATTATATTTCTTTTTAACTAAAAAATAAATAATTTTTCTATAATAGTACTGAATGTTTGAAAAAATATGTTAATGAAATTAGTAGGTTTTTAAAGAAAGCCCAGAGTAACTTTTTAGATAGTTATAGCATATTAATTAAACGCGAAGAAGGTAATCTAATAAAAATAAAAAATTCAAGGATTGGAACGAATAAAGTAGATAAAATGTAAGCCAATTATATCTTATTTATACAACTGAGTATTTTACTGCAACCATTTATTCAACGTGTTAAATATTCAATGTTTTGTTTAACGTAACATGTAAAGAATAATTTGTTGGAAACAAATTAAAATTGTAGAGTTCAAGAAATAAACATCAAACAACACTTAACATGCAATAACTTAAGTTGAAAAGAAAAGTACTAATAATTCATGTAAAAATCACTAGCAGTGTGAAAAGCTGATAAGCAACAGAAGAAAGCCATGTAATGTATATAATTGCAATTTATTAGAGCTCACATGGCTTTGAGAGTTGCGTAACAGAAGCTGGGACGAAGAAAGCTATAGAGTTTCGCCGTTAAAACCGAACATACACAAGCGTTGCGTGTTTGGGACAATGGACACTTAAATTCACGTATGCGAAAATTCAACGGGACTTCTCAAAGGAACAGCTACTTTCAGTTACCGTACATATAGATGGATTTAAACAAATCTTAATCTAGCGTCCATTCTCTCCCTTTCCCCTGTTGGTCCTTTTATTCCGATTTTAATTTTTTATCGGTCCTTTTATCGGTCCAGAAAGCGGACGAGGAGTCGACCCAGTTATCTACGCGAATTAAAGTGCGCACGCGTGACTTCTGATCTCGTCAATGAAAACATGTACATGCGACCGCTCTATATTTTCAAACTCCTCGGGAATTTGCTCCTGGAGTCACTACTGTTGGTTCCCATGCTTTCCCTTTCGATTTTTAACCTTTTTACAATTTTTTTTCAATAATTCTCTTTGATTATGGGCTATTTCGTACGCTTTTACGAATTCTTCTTGTTTATTCTTCGTGTGCAGCAAAGAAACATTTTTTATTTTAAATCTTGAATATTTATTTAAAAATAATAATGATTAAAGATTTAATTTATTCTAAAATAACACATTCTAACTGTTAACTGTTAACACAACATGTTAACTGTTTAAATAAAATTATTTTAGTAAAAATTGTGCTCAAAAGTAGACACAAAATGCTCTAGTTTTACTGCAGTGAATGTTCCATTTATGTTCAAATATATCTATCCTCTTAAAGTTTTCGATAAATACTTTGAAATTATTGTAGAACAAAATGTTTAATAAATGAAATAAATTTCTTTCAGATTATAATATACATGAAAATATTAAATAACTTCCAATATTAATCTATTATTTTAAGACAATTTGAAATCACAAATTTTTGTATTGATTAATTTTTAATCTTATATTTTTCGCAATTAACTCATTTAATTACAAATTTAATATAAAATATAAGAGTTTTTTGGTAGAAATGTGTTAGATTGACAAATTTTGTTTTTTAAAAAATAATATCCAAATATAATGTTCCATATTATGTTTAAAAAAAACAACATAAAATATTGCTTCTATTTTTAATTCCACTTTAATATATATATATATATATATATATATATATATATATAACATTAGTATTATGGATTTCTTTTTAATTAATATTCTTTTAAATAAAAAGAAAATGTTCAAATGCAGTATTATCATCAAAATATTAAAATTTAAAACTTAGTTAAAAAGTTGATAAAAATTTTTTTTAATGTATTTAATAATAGTTTTGATTGTAATTTGAATATATATTTATTTAAATTTTTATAAATATATATATATATATATATATATATATATATATATATATATATATAATATTTGAATAATATATGCTTCCTCTATTATATAAAATTATATTTAAATAACTTTTCCAAAATATTGATTTATATAAACTTTTTATTTTATTTTACATATGTATGCATTGTACAATATATATTGTAAATTTAAATTTTATAGATACGAAGAAAACTTTTATCGATTTTTAAAAGAAATTTCTTTTGGAAATTAATAAAAGTCAATAAAAATGCAATTTCATTAAATTATCAAAAATATAGAAAGCTATATTTTTCAGAAAGAATAGTAATCAATTATTTTATCAGAGGTTTCATTTTATTTCATCAATTCTTATAACTAGTACATTCTATTAAGCAATTTATATTAAATTAATCACTCGGTTTCAGTTTTTATATAATTTTAGTTATTGAATGCTTTATTTATTACTTTTTTCTAAATTTTAAATTATAATGTATATATAAGTAAATTAATTATAATTAAAATGAATTATATAAAAATTTTTATCTTTTATGATTATATATATATATATATTATATATATATATATATACATAATTTTGTACTTCATCTCTTACTTTTTCATATTATTTCGTTCGTAAATAAAAATAACTGGGCGAGTCTAAAATTGGTTTAACAGTGAATATTATGAAGGTCTAATAATCAGAATTTCTCTTTCATTCTCTTAGATAATTTATTTAATTTCATATCTTCTTTTTCTATTACCATTCTCGTGGTGTACCGCCATGACAATGAAATAACACAGAACACGTAAGTCTGGAACAGATTTTCGTTGAGCAGCCCAGGCGTGCGCACGTGTGCTTTAGCAACTTCGATCGCATCAGACTGGAGTTAATATTAAATTCCGGTTGAGTTATCATGACATAAAAATCTATAAATATTAAGAATGTCGAAATTATTTATGTTTAGTGAAGCGATAATATTTTATTGAATACCATGTTTAAAATGTCATATTTAAATCAATAATATGAATAAATAGTAAAATTGCTATGTTCGCCTGGCTTGATGATATCTACAATCATATTGAACAATTTCGATTTTATTATTTCAAATTATATATGTATGTTACTCTTGCTATTATATTATATTCTATTTTTTTATAATAGACTAAACATTTATATATATATATATATATATATATATGTATATATCTGTGTGTGTGTGTGTGTGTGTGTGTGTGTGTATAATCACTTATTACTAATTTTAGTAACTTATGAATTTATATTAAAAATTTATAATTAAATAAACATTATATATTTATATAAAAAAATACAAAAATTGTATTAAAAACTTAATTTATTGGATTACGATATATAAATCATTTTCTTAAATTAAGTTTACAGTATAATATTATAATAATAAACGAATTACTTCAATTATAAATAGCTTGTAAATTTATAACCTCATTAGTTTTCTTTTGAAGATAATAATATAAATTAATAATTTACAATATTAGTAAAAAATAAAATACTTATGTGCATGCATTATGAAATCAATTTGTGACGATATAGCACTATATAAAGTAGTAATTTTATAGTTACATATTTCAATTTGTTATTTTACGAATACTGCAAATATACAGCTTGAAAATGAATTCTGAATTAATATATTATTTATTTATTTATAATTTTATTAGTTAGATAAAGTTAATATATCCTATCAAATTAGTAATTATATTTTCTCATCACTTAATATTTGAATAATTTTCTATTAAATATTTTTTTAAAGAACTTCTTATTTATTCATATAAAATAAATAAAAATATAATATTATTAACTAAATATTTTATAAGATTAATATATAATTTTGTTATTGATTTTTATTTAGATAATAAAATCATTATTATTGAACAGAAATTGTATATTTGATATCAACATCAACATCATTTGTAAGTTGGTTGTTCTTTATAATGTAAATAAGAACAATCATCTATTATCTTGATTTTGTTAGCAAAAGTTCATTTATTATTTTAATGTATACTTAAAACTTTTTTTTGTAACTACAAAATATATACATTTTTAAGCTTAATAGAAAGCAATCACAATTAACAAGACTTGCTTACAATACAATTTTAAACATTATAGTAAATGGTTATTCATCAGTCTACATTCTTGTATATTTTTGTGAATAAATTTAAACAACAACTATTTATATAGTATAAAAAAACAAAATTATTTCTTATTTATAACTATATATTTTGTAAATTACTTTTACATATACATTTCTTACTAATCTATAATAAATATTTTGTACAAAAATGATTTAGTTTGAAATTTTTTTTAATTAAAAATAAGAAATAAAACTTATAATTAAAGATAAGAATAAGAAAAAAAGAAATAATAAACAGATTATAGTAAATGTTACCAATTATAAGAAGTAATATAAATTGTTATAAACAAATTTATGATTGAACTGCGATTTAAATAAAAAAAACTAATATCATAATTTGCCTAGCATCAAAGTTATTAGAATAACTTTTTAACATAGATATTATTCAATTAAATAAGTATTAATTCCAAATTGTATACATAGAACAAAAAAATCCATATGATTGTTCAAATATGTGTTTATTTCATCATTAGTTAATAGCTTTTTTTAAATATTATTTAAAAAAAAAATTTTTCTTCAAAACTGGAGTTAAATCGAAGAACTGAAGTTAACAATTAAATAAAATTTAAAAAATGCTTAAGCGCGAAAGCACAAGGCTTTTAAAGCAGCTCAAAAACTTGAATACATCGACCAATTGTGGTAAAAATGCTCAATTAATTATATGTATATGTTTAATATGATTCGTATATCAGTTATACGTTGAACAGATTAAGAATTATAAGATAGATGTAAGAATTATAGAATTTAAGCTTTTTTTTCAGTAGATCCAAAACATAACCAAGATTTCACATGTGTGATATTATGACAAATCATTTTTATTTAACAATAGGGATGAGTTTTTTACGCGTGTTGTCAAAGCAAGCTGTTACTATAATTTCATTTATTTATATGCGGTATGTTTGAAAACATTAATTTTACTAATTCGCTATCATTTTAAAATTAATTTATTAAATAGTAAGGAATGAAGCCGCTTTCATATGAATTTCAAAATTTAACAATTTATCTTGAGTATTCATGTAATTTTGCAGTTCCTTTAATCAATCATCGCTTTTGGATTGTTCAGAAATTGATTTATGCTTGGTCGATTACTTATTAAATAAAAATACGTAATTTTAACTATATATATTTGTATGCACTTCTGACAATCCATTCAAAAATATTCCTAAATACAATTTGCCACAGTAATGAAATTCATTGTATGTGATAACTAACATGACTCATAAATTACTATACTACTAAATATAAATAAATTACTTTGCTAAGAAATCATGAGAAATGCTAAAAACTGATATTCAATAGCTTTTTCCAATATTTCACAGTTGTAAAAATAAAGTATTTTGTGATATTTTATGTGGCTCAAGAATTGCCACTTCAATAGCACGATTAGTTACAATCTTGATTATTTAGATTTAATAATTAATTATATCATATATATTTTAAGAAAAAAAGTTTATATGAAGAATCGATACTGTTGTTTGTTAAAAAATTTAGGTAATAAATGTAATATATTTATAAACATTTTTATATCATTTTATATCCTTTTTATATCGTAATTATTTCATCCAGATAATAATATTTAATGCTTAGAATCGAATAACTATAAAAAGTGAAAATAGTAATTGATTTTTTTGAACTATTAATTAAATACAATAATTAATACTTCATAAGTTAATTATAGTATTTTCAGTAGAATTTATTTATATGCGTAGCAAGCTTCAGAAATTTATAATTAATTTTCCTTGTTCGTATAGTACATATAAGATTAATTTATTAGTAAATATATTTGGCAGAAGAAATCGATTCAAGTAAGCTTTTCCTTTAGTGTTCTTTTTGAAATAGTACTTATGAAAATTATATATATAAATTATAATATATCATATATCAATATATAATCAAAACAACAATTTAAAAATATGTTGCGAAACCTGCTGAAGTGAAACTGAGACTCTTTAATAAAGAATAAAACATTACTGGAGCGAAATGTAGTCCCAGAATAACTAAAATAATTGGTTTCACGTTTTTTCAGTGTTAATTTATAAATGCAACATGGACTCAATTGTCACTACTTTGCGTATGTAATGAGGCTCTTCCGCAGCTGCACTACTTGAGTAAATACCTTTCATTTACTCTGAGCACATAAAAAGTCTGTTTTATCCAATTGTGTCGACATTCGAAGTTCAATGCTACGCTAGTGCTATGATTTTTCACCCCGATAAAAGAAATCGTCGACGAGCAAACGGGAAAGTATTAAAAGAATTTAATTCTTCGATAATTAATAATTGTTAATTTTAATATCAAATATACTTATATACATTTACGGTTATTTATAGCAAATTTAGCATAAATAAGTAATTAATTAATTTCATTCCATTGATTATAATTGAGTTCTAGTCTGTAAAACGGCGTATATTAACTTAAAAAATTGCAGCTTTCCTTAGGTTGAACGTACATTTAATTCCTAAATGTTGAGTTTAAAAGGGATTATCATTATTTTAATAAAGTGCCATTAGCGCTCTGCTGCCGAATGTTGCTAGGTGTATAGAGGGAAAAAAGTGGAAATATTTCTTCGAGGCTGTGCTCCAGATCTCGAACTTTCTTTTTCGACATCCTTGGTCCTTGTCGACGGGACGGAGAAAGTCGTGACCAGGGCCAATATAGTAGGCACAGGTCACGCATCAATATGGAAATGCGAGAGCTGCTTACGCGCGGCCTTTTGCGAATCTGTGCTGATAACCTCGAAGTATGTCGTGAACGGCCGTTGACGCTCCTCTCCTCTTCCTACAGCCTGAGATTCCACATTGAGCGGCAGGGGTAACGATGAATGCGCCCAAAAAGTTTTTCGTCGCCACTTATGCCCAATGAAAAGTACATGATCAACCTATGATATTTTGCATAATTTCACGGACAGCTTCATCTAGGAATGTTCTTTATTTTATGTTAGTGCAGAAAGTTTAAACGCACACCATACTAGTACCAATAATCATATATTTTTTAGAAAGTACTGTTAAAAACAATACTTCAAATACTATAATACTTTCTTTAATATGAAAAATTTTTTCTCTAATTGAAAAAAATATGAAAAAATAAATTTAAAGCTATAGCTGTTACTTAAATTTACTTTAATCTATAAATATAAAATATCCATTTTTTTTTATATTGAACATTCCTGTAGTATACTTAATGTAAATTCATTTCAAATAAAATAATTAAGTTAATTTTTAATTCAAGATATTATGCGTACTAGAAATTATTATCGACTATTTGTCACAATAATAGTTTAATTTAAAAATAGCCCCTAATATAAGTAAAAACCTTTGGCTTCATATTAACGCCGAGACTAACGACAAATGTTACAAAATGCTCTCAAACACAAACAAGCGAATACACAATTACACCTTTCATAATATTTAAGTCGTATCACACAATTCGACTACTATATTAGATATTATGTATGTATTATATTACCAATAGATTGTGCTTATCTGTTTTTAGATAATCATGATATCAATTTCACATGTAAAAAGATATAAAATTAAAATTGAATATCTTATTAATAATTGAAAAGAACTTTTTATAATTAGTAACTTTTTGTACTAAGTTCTTCTTGAAAATTAAAAATTCTTTATTTCTCCGAAGATAGGATTCTTTATGACTTTTAATCCTAAATAATTATTATAAATTGTCCTTTTTTATATTATTATATTAAAACATCCTCTATTTATATCATTCACACAAATTCGAAATTTCTATATTATTATAGTA